TATTATATCTGAGTGTTTCCAGAAAGAATAAAGAAATATGTTAGGACAGACATGGGAAACTCACGATTTTGGTAGCAGATGGGAATATCAAGTATCAGGGACACATCAAGAATGAGAACTTCAGGAAGAAAGTGGTAGGAGATGAGGAGATGTCTACCATGATGTGAGGAATTGCAGAAGCCCTGAGCAAGTCTCTTCTGGAGTTTCTTCCTCATGAGCCTCGAGACCTATTTTAGAGGACGTGCCCCAGCGGTAGCTTGAACATCAGTCCTCAAGGGGCTCAATGGCAGAAGCTGAGATCTGCAAGCTGCTGTTCATCTGGCAGAAAACCTGTTTCATTCAGTCCAGACAGGGTTTCATTCAGTTTTATTTTCTTTTGTCTTGCATTTCAGGTTTCAAATGGTAAAAATTTAGAGGTTTCTACATAAACTGAAACCTTGGCATTCATTTAAAAGAGAGAGAGAGAAAGAGAGAGAGAGAGAGAGAGAGAGAGAGAGAGAGAGAGAGAGAGAGAGCCATAGAGACAGTGTAATGGGAGGGAATGTGATGGAAGAACTATACACATATAAGAAAACGTAATGAGACCTTTAATACAGTTCCTCACATTGGTTGTGGTGACCCCCAACCATAAAATTATTTCATTGCTACTTCGTAACTGTAATTTTGCTACTGGTATTAGTCATAATGTAAATATCAGATGTGACCCCTGTGGAAGGGTTGTTTGACACCCCCCCCCCCCGCAAGGGGTTGTGTCCCATAGGTTGGGAACTGTTGATATGCACTGATGTAAAGCTGGAAGATCCCAGCTTACTGAGCCTGGCTCCCCTGTGAGACTGAGTAGCAAATGAGCTGCTTGAGTGTGCCACCTCTCCAGAAGGGATGGCTCCCCTAAGGAGGCTGAAGTGTGGGTCCTGTGATGGAGGAGCTGAGTACTGTGTGTCACAATGGTTGGATTCATATCTACTTAGTCCAAATGTGTGGGCTCAACACCATCGTAAGACACTTGAGAATCGAACACCGGTTTTATCATGTAGTAGAGAAACCGACTGTAAGTTAATACCTGGGTGGCAGATATGTAATGAAGAAGATATGTAATAAAGATATGACTGTAGTGCTAAGCAAGTGTTCTTGTTCATGAAATGCCTTTCAAGTCATGACCGCCACCAATGCTTGAATAAAAAGAGCCAAGACATCTGAGGCTCTTTACAAAGTATTTACTGAGCTGTGTTTTTTTTCTCCCTTCCTTCCCCTCCCTCTCACCTTTTGGTGTTGCTAGTTTTCTTTCTTGCCATCTGTCTTCATTTTGCCAACCGGAAATTGGGGGCTACGAGCAGGATATAAAGTATGACTGGCAGCTTCTAAGTCACAGCTCAGAGTCCCAGGAGGTACAGTGGAGGCATGGGAAGATATGCTAAGGTTAGCTATGTCCAGGATTTCAATGACACTTGTGTGTGTGTGTGTGTGTGTGTGTGTGTGTGTGTGTGTGATATACTGTGTATCAGGTAGCATTCACTAAAACAAGTAACTGGGATAAATCATCTTATGAAGAAAAAAGTTTTATTTTTGGTTCATAGTCTGGGAATGTTTGGCACATAGTCTGGGTCTGCAGTAGGCAGCACACTGTGGAAGATTCCTGTTTACCTTAGGCCAATGAGGGAGGGCAGAAGGGAGGGGAAAGAGAGGCACCAGAGATCCACAGTCCTCCTTTGAGGGCATACCTCCCCTCCTCAGTGACCCAAAGACATCCCACTAGGTCCCAACTCTTAAAGTTCTCCCACTATCTCAGGGGTGCCAAGTGGGGAACTAATTGGGGAATGTTCAAGATGCAAGCTGTATAAGCTTTCATGAAGTGGTGAATTCGCCTGAAATAAAGGATTTCCAGGACTTCCATGACTGAAAATCACATTCCTCAGATCTTTTATTTCAGAGCTGGAGATGTAGCTCAGTAGAGTGCTTGCCCAATGTGTGTGAGGCCCTGGGTGAGCAAGGTGCTGCTCACCCCAGCACTTAGTTCAGGCTAATGCTGAACTAAGGAATGCAGTGTCAAAGATACATAAGACCCTGTATTAAATATTTTTTAAAAATTATTTATTTTTTATCTTATTGACAGGCGAGAAAAAAAATCTAGGGCAATCCATGAAATGTGGAAAATGCTCAATAAATGGCTGCCACCATTTGCCTAGTACTCTGACAAAACTACCATTCAGCAACTGCATGCTTTTGCCACAAGAGGGCACTATCTAGAATTTTTTCAGGTGAATTTAGTCAATTTACCAATGTGTGTATGTTATTTTTTTAATCCTACAAAAACTTATTTCTATTTCAGCTTAGTTTAATTAACCACAACCTTCATTTTAAAAAAGTTTTAAACTTTATTGAGTGTGTGTGAGTGCACACTATGTGCACTTGGAGGTCAGAGGACAACTTCTGAGAGTTGGTTCGTTCCTCCCACCATAGGTTCTGGGTTCTGGGCTCTGGGATTTAAGCTCTGGTCATCAACTTTGTGTGGCCCACTGAGTCATCTTGCAACCCAATCACAGACCTTCTTAATTTAAATAAGTAACTTGCATGTTATATGAGATCTTCCCTTGACATCTGAGGGATGCTTAGTCATCTAAAGCCATTGTTTTAAACTCAGTGTTCTTTGTTGAAGGCTGGGATACACACACACACACACACACACACACACACACCTTCGATATGTGGAGATATATGGATATGCATGTTTATTCGTGTATATGTATATATTAAATACAATAAAATTCTGAATATGTCCCCATTCCACAGACATATTTCCTATTTCTTCCTATTTTTCCTAAAAACAGAGTGCAACAAAATCAAGGGAATGGAGTGGCGGCTTCCCCTGAGTGGTTCCCGTTAAAACACCTTACTGGTGGTTAACTACCAAGGCTCATTTTCTTGTCCTTAACCAAGAAGCTTTCACAGAGAGATGTTTCCTGTTGGCCTGGAGGAAGTGTGTTTGATTTGATTTTTAGGGTTTAAAATGTGCAAGCTGACATTAGACATCAGCTAGTCCCCTGCCTTCATATTATAGACAGAAACCCTGAGACTTTTGGGGGTGAAGTGCTTTCCCAAGGTGCCGAGCTAATCTGAGCATCAGTGTGTCCCTTCGAGGGTCAGAAATCTTTTTCACAGCAGGCTTTCACAAGGGAGACCCAGTAGAACCTATGGATCGAACCTACCCACACAGGGATCACTTATTAAATATTTATTACACAAAAAACATTAGTAGTTTCTGGAGACTACAGAACCTGGAGTTCCCAATGTAGCATCACTACGCTGTACCCACAGCCCCAAGGCTATTGTTGGATTAGACATGTCTCTTGCTCTCTGTAGGAGCTGCCATGTGGGTTAGTGTAGAAGCCATGCAGGAGAAAACTCTCCAGAATCAAGCTCTGGGCCCTGACTCAGATACACATGCTCTTTTTGCACATCTGGGAGTCACGTGCTTTGCTCACTCCAGAAGGATTGGTGGGTACGCTCTGTCATGAATCTGTTTAACATAAAGGGGACTTTGTAGCCTTAGTATAGTAGGGATGACCTCTATGTTTGTTGGGGAGAAAGTTGCTATTCATGAATTCTCAAGGTTTACCTTCATAGAGAGAGACATTGGCTCTACTGTCTGAAAGAGCTCTGACAAAAAACTTGCAACCAAACAGCAACTGAAGCATCTGACACCCTTCTGAGCACAGACAATTAAGCCTATGGTTTTACTGTCTGGACTTTGTGTGATTACCTCATGACAGTCATCTTGATAAGTAGGTGAGTGACTCTTGGCATAGTCAGGAACCTGATGTGTCATTTTCTCTCCTGCCTGACCTTTGGTTCTCCAACAGCCCATGGTCTGGGGCCCAGGCAGGCAAATGAGCAGGGTGACAAAGCATGGGAAGCAGCAAGTCCTGTAGCAGGCTGACACTGACTTTATAGTAGAGACACTGTTTCATGATAAAGCGAAGAGGTATGAAGCCGGGGGCAGTATGGTGCTTGGTTGATTTAATGGCCATCGAGTAGATTGAGTTTTTGAGAATAATTTGTTTATTCTGTAAGTCCACAGAGCTGTGATCTAGGAAGGCTGTTATGGAAACAGTGCTCAGGACCATGGGCAGGAGGGTTCCCCCAGTGCAGTGACTTTCCCCCATCCCTGAGTCCAGATTGCAAAGGTCTGATGCCTTCCATGTGCTCCCAGGGAAAGAAATTCTC